CGTGGCTTGGCCGCCGTCCTTTCTTTACCAATGCGCGCTCCTCCGAGCGCTGCGGAGTCGTATTCCCGGGCGGCGGAGCAGCCGGGGAACGTTCTCTTTGTACCAAGCGTCGGCTGCCCCCTGCACGGTTACCGAGAGGGGAAAAAACAGAGAACTGGTTTGGGGGAGAAAGACGCTGTTGTGTGAAATAGTCTTTGCCAGCAGTCCCCATGCCAAGAGGGCAGGAGGCAGACAGTTGGGAGAGGGGCGGTGAGGAGAACAGGATTCAGTAGAAGCCGAGTCTGAGGCAGGGAAGGGTGGTGGGGGTGTGTGTGTCGTTGAGCTCTGTGATGCGTTTCGGGGAAGCTAGAGTAAAGTTTGTGTTGGGGTGGCAAGGGTAAAGAGTCTTGGGTGGTCAGGCTCAGGGCACTGATCAGCGGCCTGCTTACTACTACAGCACCAGTCCCCTGGTCTCTCTACTCCATTTCCTCCACTATTCCCTTGAGCTTTAGGCTGGCAGTTTCCATGGCCCCTCCATGGCAGCTGCAACTGCAGTCCTGAGCCCTGTGCACACAGGGCCGTGGGAGGAAGCTCCGGCGGGGGTGGGGGGATGCTCTGGCAAAGCCCTCAGCCAAGGGCTGGCCCGGAGCCCTCAGAGCCCCTTTGCTCCGTGTGCCACTGGAGATTTTACGCAGGCAGCCTGGCAACTGTGCCTTTAAGAAGAGCTATCTCTCCACCACGCTACACAAGGGGGAGATTATCTGGGAGGAGCACACACACTCACTCTTCCTTCATAGTCATGCACACACTCATATGCATACGCACACAGATTTGGCAGGGAAGCCACCTGTGGAAGTTTGACCCCGGCTGGGTGCCAAGTACCCACCAAAGCCACTCTATCGTGTCCCTTCTCAGCTGAACGGGAGAGAGAAAATACAACAAAATTTGGGTCTCCTGGGTTGAGATAAGGACAAGGAGAGATCACTCACCAACTACTGTCACCGGCAAAGCAGGCTTGACTTGGGGAAATTAGTTAAATTAATTACTAATCATATTAGAATAGGATAAAGCAAAATAAACCCAAATCTCAAAACCACCTCTTGCTTCTTCCTGGGCTTAACTTTACTCCTGACTTCTCTATCTCCACCCCTTCAAGGGCACAGGGGAGTGGGAGTTACCCTCCTCAGGGAGAGGACTCCTTGCACTCTTCCCCTGCTCCAGCAAGGAGGTCCCTCCCATGGGAGACTGTTCTTAAACTATTCTGATGTCAGGCCTCATGGGCTGCAAGTCTTCACGAAGTGCTCTAGTCCTCCGGGAACAGTCTGCTCCAGCGTGGGTCCTGCAGGAGGTCATAAGTCCTGCCCGCAAACCTGCTCCAATGTGGGCTCCTCTCAACATGGGGCCACAGCTCCTGCCAGGACCCTCCTCCAGTGGAGGCTTCCCATGGGGTCACATCCTCCTTCGGGCATCCCTCTGCTCCAGTGTGGGGTCCTCCACAGGTTGCAGGTGAGATCTGCTTCACCATGGACCTCCATGGGCTGCAGGTGATACCAAATTAAACAAGTATTCCATTGTGTATAGAGACATAGTCAAGACTACAAGGGCTCTCAACATAAGGAAGGCATGTAACAGAAGAACCAGATGTCTTCCTTCAGATAGATGTGGGCATTCCTCCTTTCCATAATGAGGAAAAGAAATGGGTAAATGGCTGCTAGAGAAAACAGCTAAAGGAGCCTCTTGGGGTCATAAATTTGCCCAAGCAAGAACATGTGGTTAATTGGTGAGACTAAACAAGCATTCTCATGTCCCTAAATAACAGATGTCCATAAGAGGGTAAAATGAGTAGGGGTATTTCTCCCCAAGCGACCACCATGACCAGCAAAGACCATTCTTTAAATTCACAGTGCTCAGCCTTATCTACCCAAATTACCATATGCTATGAGAATTGAGTGGGAGCTTTACAAATTATGACGAATATGTATAGAATAAATGTATGTATGCTGTGAACTGTCTCTTCTTGTTGTGCATGATAGGTGGAGGGATCCTCCACGCACCCAGTACTGTAATAAAGTCATGCCACTTTTCTATTCTGTCATTCTAGTTGGAGAGTTTATTTTACTGGATTTCAGTGACACATGGGGACAGCCTGTCTCAACATGGGCTGCACCACAAGCTGCAGTGGAATCTCTGCTCTGGTGCTTGCAGCAGCTCCTTCCCCTCCTCCTTGGTGTCTACAGAGCTGTTTCTCTCACATACTCTCACTCCTTTCTCTGGCTACTTTTGTGCAACAGGGTTTTCTCTTTCTTGTTATCCCAGAGCTGCTACCACTGTCACCAATTAGCTGGGTTTGGCTTTGGCCAGCAGTGTGTCTGCCTTGGAGCTGGCTGACACACTGGCTCTGTCTTCTCACTGGTTCTTCTTCTTCTCACAGAAGCCACCCCTGCAGCCCCCTGCTACCAAAACCTTGCCACATAAACCCAATACACCACTCTTCTCTTAGTCACCCGTTAGTTATCATTAATTGATTTTCTGAGTTATTCTTATCTGGACAAGAACAGCTTCATATGGTCCCTTCAGAGTGAAATAGTTAATAAGGGTGAGAGTATCTTGGCATGAGGTGGGGATACATGTTCCTCTGCTCAATGGTGGGATGCAATGCCTTATCTCCTCAGTCCTACAGCAACCATCACCAACATAAATATTTTTTCCAAACAACACATCACTTGCATACTGTCTGTGCCCTTAGCAAGTTGCATGATTGCAGGATTTTCTTTTTATTGAGATTAAGAGGATCTAAATTAAAACCCTCTTCTCACTGGATTTTTTTTTCAGACATGTGGCACCCCTCTGCCATTTGTTGCCTGCCAGTGTCTTCTCCCTAATAGACACTAGTGTGTATTGCATATTGTCTGGGAGAGAAAGATAAATGCTATGGAAAGAGATGGTGAGAAACAGCTGGGATCAGCATCAGAAGACGTGGTAAAAAAAAAAAAAATAGAAAAAAAGCTCAGGCAATACCAATGCATTTTCCTTGGGAAGTGTCTTATCAAATTTCACTCTGCAGTCACAAGTCTAAGGAAATAAAAACATGTGAGCCACAAAGGTTAGTTTGATGTCTTTCTAGACATGAACTAGACTGTATAGAGAGCTGAAAACTGGTAACCTGAATTCATTGCTCAGGGGGAGGATCTACCAACCCAATGCCAAAGGAAATGGGAACTTATCCAGCACAAAGAAAGGAATTTGCACATGTGAAAAGAGGGATTTTAGCGTCCTTTTGCTCTTGCAAAACCCCATCTTTCCCGCAGGAACAGCCCACAGAAATATCTAGCCAGCCTGCCCCTCTCCTAACTTTTTGTTGTGATTTCAGTTCTTACGGAAGAACTGATTCCCTAAACACAGACTAACATTTGGAAGGGAAGTTCTGGGTGCTGGTTCCACACAATGGAAAATCCAACCCTGGCCCTGCAACATAGAGCAAAAATGCTTTATTCATCATAGGAACTGTGTACAGGCAGATTTCACTGCAGTCTGCTTGTACTTCTGTACAAACTCTGTTTCCATAAGGAAAACACGCCTCTTGTTCCTAAGGCCTTCTTTCTGCCTTTCCCTTTGTCTGACTCGAAGGTGACTTGTTTGAGAATTTCTCAAGATCTTGCCTTCCACCCACGGGTTGCACTTAAGGTTCAGACTTTACCTTACATTCCATGCCTGTGCATCTCTGACTTCACTGACTGCACTTTCCTGGCTTGACCTCATCCCGGCCTCATCCCCGTGGATTTGCCCAATCATCCCGGGCTTTGGTTGTCCCCAGTCACTGCTACATCCCTTGCCCGCTCACCAAGTGTGGGTGCTGCAGGGCTGTGTCCTTGTTGGTGACATCGTGGCCCCACCTGCTCCACTGTCCCCCTTGCCTCCCAGTTCACCTGCTCTTGCAGGGCAGCCCTCTC